TTGAATATTTGTGTTGCCATTCGTTTCGTGGAGAGCTAATTTACTGCCCTGGGGCCTTGGGCCGAGATGGCCAGCAACCGACCAGGGAGACCCCTGCGTGGCCAATGCCCGCCCAACCTGCCCCCCCCCCCCCCTGGGGGCCAGGGTCCTGAAGTATCGGTTCGGGTTTCGGAGCTAGGTTCTGAATCTGTAAGCGCCAGCGCACTCCAACGCGTGAATTCGTGCGCCGCTGGGCTGCAAGCTTAGCGGCACAGAGCCTCAATGGCTCGCTGCACGAAGCCTTTAACTATTTCCTGGATGGCGGGACGCCTGCGCCCGTCCTTCCGATGCACACCCTTCTTGATTTGTGTCCCGAAATTGTATAAACTGTCTAGACGCCAGACCTGCTGCAGGTTTGGACTTGGTTGCAACAGCCAAGACACATTCAGCTGGTGTCATTGGCATTGAGTTCCAACCGCTGCTGAGACCTGGAAGGAGGTAGAACGAGAGAGGCGGAACGATATCACGGTTTACACAATTCTCCAAGGTTGCATTTGCATCGTTGCCCTTTCGACCCATCCGTGGAAATTTTCGTTGGCCAGCCCCTCAGGGTTCCCTTGGGGCGGGCTGCATCCTTCGATCGCGCAGCGCTATGCCCCTGTGGGCCAAGCCTACACAGGATGCGCGATGGGCAGGGCCCCCTCGGCCATCCTCTTCTACATTCATGGGGGCCGCGGCCCCAAGGATGCGCGACGGGCAGGGCACCTCTGCTCATGCTTGGGCATGTTTTCCTTGCCCTCCCACTCACGGGTGGGAAGCGGCCCTGAGGATGGGCAGGGCACCCTTGGCTATCTTCAGCCCCGTTTTTGCCGTCCCTTTCTTTCGCGGGGGGCGCGGCCCCAAAGATCCGCGACGGCCAGGGCACCTTTACTCATTCTTGGGCACGCCCTCCTTGCTCTCCCACTCACGGTTGGGCGCGGCCCTGAGGATGCTGGGTGGGCACGGCACCATTCGCCATTTTCCGCTTCCTCCTCCTGCTCCTCCTCCTCTTCCTTCTCTTCATCTCTCCCTTTCTAAATCCTCCTCCCTCTTCCCCTGTCCCTGCTACTCATGTACTTTCCCTCCTCGCCGTCCTTCTCCCCCTGCTCCTCCCCCCCTCCTCCTCCTGCTCCTCCTCCTGCTCCTTCTGCTCCTGCTCCTCCTCCTCCTCCTCCTCCTCCTCCTTTTTCTCCTCCTCAGCGCATGCTGATGCCCAGAATTTACCGGCCAGCTTTTGAGTGACCCATCCGCTGGTGGGTCACCTGTGCGGCGCGCGCTACACGTGGGGAAGCGTATGGAGTAGGAAAGGCATCAACTCATGTTGAGGCGCAGATGCAAGTGTAACAGCTGTTTTTTCTCAATCGGTGTTCGGGTGATACACCCGCTGGTGGGTCACCTGTGCACTGCGCGCTGAACGGTGGAAGCGTATGGCGTAGGAGTGCACCAATTCAGGCTGATGCCTTGAATGTAAGTGTAACACTGGGTTTTTCTCAACCGGCTTTCGGGTGACCCACCCGCTGGCGGGTCATTTGTGTCGTGCGCGCAACACAAAGGAAGAGTACGGAGCAGGAATGCACCACCTCAAGTTGATGCTGAAAACGCAAGTGGAAGGATTTGTTTTTCTTAACCAGCTTTTAGATGACCCACCCGCTGGTTGGTGTCACTTTTTCGGTTCGCGCAACACCGGGGAAGCGTATGAAGCAGGAATGCGCCACCTCAGGTTGATGCCAAAAACGCAAGTGGAACGAAACCAGCTTTTGGATGTTCCACGCACTGTTACATCCCCTGTGCGGCGCGCGCAACACAGGGGAAGTGTATCGAGTAGGAATTCACGAACTTATGTTGATGCCCTGAATGTAAGTGAAACGATGGGTATTTCTGAACCAGTTTTCGGGTGAGCCACCCGCTGGTGGGTGACCTGGACGGTGCTCGCAACACAGGGAAAGTGTATGGAGAAGGAATTCACGAACTTATATGTTGATGCCCAGAATTCAAGTGGAACAATTGGTATTTCTGAACCAGTTTTCTGGTGACCCACCCGCTGGTGGGTCACCTGTGCGGTGCGCGCCACACAGGAGAAGCGTTTGGAGCAGGGATGCACCAGCCAATATTGATGCCCGAAGCGCAAGTAGAGCAGCTGGGTTGTTCTCAACCAGTGTTCGGGCGATCCATCCGTTGGTGGGTCACCTGTGCGGTGCGCGCCGCACAGGGGAAGCGTTTTGAGCAGGAGTGTACCAACTCAGATTGATGTCCAAAATTAAACAAGTGAAACAATTCATTGTTGAGTTCAAGAATCGTATTCGACTGACCCACCCGCTGGTGGGTCAACTGTGCGGCGCGCGCTGCGCAGGGGGGGCGTCTGGAATAGAAATGCACCAGCCTTGCAAGGTAGGCATGGGTTGTTTCTCAACCATTTTTAGGGTGACCCACCGCTGGTGGGTCATCTGTGCGGCGCGCGCTACACAGGGGAACCGTATTGAGT